CAGGACTTCGTTCATTTCGAGAGATGTCTTCTGTTTATGTTAATTATTACCAGTTTGCCCAGTGCACTGACAATCACAGGTCTATCCTAAAGTACCTCGGACAATCCCAGGACTGTTTTGAGGTATCTGGGACTAAAAGATTAAACTGCTATTGCTTGTTTTTGTGTGGAGGACGGCATGCATCAATTACGACTTTTAATAAAACAAATGTTAAAAAAAACTTTTCTGAAATCGAAAAGCAGAAAAGAGTAAAATCGGCTTGATGAAAAAGTCGCCTGTTTCCATTTCTTTCAGTCTTATACTCGTAATTTTTTCAACAAAAATTTATTGTGATGCCAGCCGGCACGCCACAGTGGTACTGTTGCCAAGCAGTGGGTCAACGATTCCGATTCGCCGCTGGGAAAATAATCAAAACCCTTCACGATTTGTTAATTCATTTCGATGGTAAATTGGTAATGGAATATGTCTGGCAGGTAAATTCGTTATTGGACTGCTTGTAAGTAACATCGAAAGAGGAAGCTATCGTCAGCCTTGCCAGCGGGTCGTTGCCGCTGGCGCTGCTACTACTTGAAACACTACTCGAAATGCCTTTACCTTTGACAGAGAGCAAATATGGAAGGGTTTCGGCCTTTACGTTTTGAACAAGAATTTAAAAATTAATTAACCAGTTGCACGATTCCAATGGAGTCAACAAATAAGCAAATGATGAGAAGTGTTCTCTTCGTGACTGCGCCATATTTGATCACATAGTATCGATATGTAAACGAGAGGAGAATGGAAACCATGGACAGAAACGACATAACGAGTGCCATCTGCTGAACGATGAAAACAACAGATGAGCCCAGATAACGCACAACGCCGAGAGCTATGTAGAAAAAAATTGTACCATGTGTCACTAATCTGAAATTGCGAGGGTTTTCATATCACTGCGTAGAAGCGTATTAATTTTGTCTCTCAAAAAAATAAGCTCTTTGCCAGTGTTGGGGGTGCTGGGGAAGCAGCTTGAGTATTTTCATGTGCCAACGGCAACCACCTGTTCGCAAGCTTATCGGGAGCTGCCTTTTTTGAGGGGGTTGCTTATAAGCAAGCTAAATGAGAGCCAAAAAAAATGTGTCAAATTTACCAGCTACTTCTCCAGCCCTTGCGTTTTTATTCGTTTAACTCAAAATGAAAATTCAAAAGTTCCTAAAAAACAAAATATGAGCTAAAATTTTTGTTTTTATAAGGTTTCGAATTTTGTTTTTAAGTTAAACAAATGAAAACGAAAGGACTGAAAAAAAACCTAAAAGAGAATTTAAAAAAAAATAAAAAAACAAATTTACTTTTGCTTAACTCAAAACCTTTGAATAAAAAGTTTTTAAATTGCGACAACAACTTTAAATTTGTGGGACAATGAATCCCAGGAGACAAAGCATTTCGTGGGAGTTTAGATATCAGTAATTTCAAACGAAAATGCAATATTTCGAAAGATTATTCGCACATATAGATATTCATTTTCTAGCTGTTGGCATTAATAGCAACATTATTGAAGCATCAAAGACCAAGTGGAAAAAATCTGCTGGCTTTCGAAAAATCATCCAAAAGACTACTTTGAGTGTGGGCAGTATGGTCTAATAATCGAAGAAATGCATGGAAATTTTGAAACTTAAAGTAGTTTAGATAGTAAAGAAGGCTTTGGTACTCTGATTTGTCGTAGTTCACATCTTGGTACTGTGTGGCCATGCCAGCTGCTTCGGTCAACGCTGCATAGCTTACCGGTCAGTCCGCTGGCGATTCGAGCATTTG